GAAACTACAATAGAGTTGTCATTAACTAAGATAGGGAAGATTATGACCAGACTAAGTTTTTGTTCTCTCTCTCTGTCTTTCTGTGGTGTCTTGCTATGTTGCCCAAGCTGGTCTTGAACTCCTGATCAAATGATCTTCCTGACTCTTTCTCCTGAGTGCTGAGTGTGCCATCACACCTGGCACCAGAGCAGGTTTTTGGCAAGGGCATCAGGACATAGGTTTTAGACATTCTATTTTTTTTTTTTTTGTTCTGGGGATTGAACTCAGGGCCTTAGGCTGGCTAGGAGAGTGCTCTAGCACTGAGCCACATCTCCAGCCCCACAGACTTCTAATTTGGAAATGCCTGTAAGATCCAAGTGGAGATATTGAGTAGGTAGTTCAATATACTAGCATGAGTCTGGAGTTTAAGGCCAGATATGAATTGTGCTTTAAATTTGGATGGTAGATGGATCAGTGCTGTCCAACATGTCAGCCACTAGCTACATGTGGCAATTGAAATTTGAATTAATCAAATGGTGCTAAATTTTCAGGGCTGGATGTGATGGTTAATTTCTGTAATCCCAGCACTCAGGAGGCTGAGGCAGGAGGATTGAGGCCAACCTGGGCTACATAGCAAGACCCTGTATCAAAAAATTTCAGTTTCTCAGTTGCTGTAGCCACATTTCAAGTACTCAATAGACATATGTGGCTAGTAGTCATTGTCTTGGAGAGCACAGATGCACACATTTCCATCATCATGTGAAATTCATTTGGACAGTACAGGTAATAGATGTCATTTGAAGTCTCAGATCCAGATATGATCACCTAGAGAATAGGATTTACTTATATAAATGTATCTTAGTATACAGATTGGTGGTGGTAGTGGGATGGTGGGGTGTTAAGGGCAGACTTCTTTTTAATTTTTTTTATGAAAAAATTTTTCATGAACTAAGTTTGCCAAATGGGTAGTGAGGTAAAGACATTCCAGACATGGAGAATGTGTGTGTTAAGAGAAGAATAGGATAACATGGTATGGTTGGGAAATGATAAGAAAGCTCACATTTTTGGAGTAAGGTCATATTATTTTAGTATAGTTTATACACACACACACACTCCAAACCTCTTCTTTGCTTCAAGAGTTGAGGACTGAGCACGTAGTGCTACGGCTAATCAGTCCAAGTCTAATTGGAAGGCTGAATGAGACGAAGGCAAAAGAATTTTCCTTGTCATTTATAAATTGTGAATGGGAGAAGAATTAAGAATTAAGTTTAGAGCAATGGATACTACCTCTCAAGTTCCTTTCAATGACAAAAATCAAATGAGATACTCATTTTCAATTTTTGGAAGTTTCATTAAAAAAAGATCTGAAAGTTACTTAAGTTGAAACTGGATTTCTATCTGAATTTGGGCAAACTAAAAAAAGTAGATGTAGCTAATCGGTTATGGCTTTGATGAAATGCATTCACACTCAAGACAGTTGCCAGGCCCATCCTAGAAGGCAATCATTTCAGAGCATGTTTTTATCAAGATGTCAGCTTGTTTTAATAGTAGGTTGTTATACCCAAACTACCATATTGTTGTCTTTCTTTCTTTCTTTCTTTCTTCCTTCCTTCCTTTCTTCCTTCTTTTTTTCTTGTCTTTCTCTCTAGCAGCAACTTAAGTCACAGGAAACCCAGAAAACTGCTTTTTGTCAATTGAAAGAAACCCTTTCCATTTACATGTTTTGAACTAAAAAAACTTAAAAACGTGAAGATCCATTAGGATGAAAAACTTTTAAAAGCAGATTCTATTGGGATCTCACGTTGCCATTCTGTGCTCCTGCAGTTATAGACCACGTCATTATTTCCATTATACTTATCTCCTAATTTTCAAGGCTTATTAGCTTGGCTGTAAAAACTTGCTCCAGTTGAAATTTGGCAAACTGACAAGGCTGTGTGCCAGAAGTAATTTACTATCCAATGTGGTTTGCAAAGTAAAAGAAGCTATAAATAATAGAAAAAGAAATGAAAAGTTACTGGTTCCAAATATTTTAATGTGGATAATGTGTGTCACCTCAAACTTTTCAGCTTTTGTTGTTGGCAGTGAGAGATAACATGAAAGGTTTGAAAGGTACAGATGCTTTGCATTCCCATCAAACTGAGGGCTCTGATGTTCTTAGGCATCAAAGACCAGCCTGTGTCTATCACTGCTGCCTGACTTTGAAGTCTACCAGGGCTCTCTGTGTGGAAGAAGCAGGCAGGGGACTCAGAACAAGGTAGGGGGGATGGGATTCCAGGTGCGTGGCTTTTCATTATCGCTGAAATTAGGTACTTCCATTTATCAAATAATAAGAATGTAAAAATGTCTAGCATTTCTTTCTCTGCTGTTTTTAACCACTGAGCTCTTCAGGAACTTAATCATCAGATGTGACAATGTGAATAATCCAAGGATAAGTTCAAGTTTACTTTGAAGTTTATGTTCAAGTGCTTTGAAGGAAGAATAGAAGTTTTAACTTGATTTGCAAACATCTGGTTAGTGTTCATCTGGCAGATTCCTTAAGAGATTGTCAGGACCCTAAATGAGATGTTCACTGTTTCCCAGACTGGCTCATGTGACGGCACTAAAATGGGGGCCACGTGTTTCTTCAGGATCAGGATACTTTTTTCTGGGATCAATCTAACTTGACAATATGGGAAAAAAAATCAGAATAATTTATATTCAAACAACTACTAATATATTGTGGGCTATAATGTAAAACTCACATGAACTCTTTTAGAGAGGAAAAAGGCTGATATTTCTGACCCTGCTATGCATAAAAATAATAATTGAAGCTGTTAAAAAGAATGATATCCTCAAGGAGAGTCTGACAATTTTTTCTCCTTTATTAAAGTGTAACTTTCAGAAAGTGTACAGATCTTAAGTGCATACCCCAGTGGGTATTTTATTTATTTTATTTTACTTAATTATTTATCTATTATTTGGCAGTATTGGGGTTGGAACTCAGATCCTTGTGCTTGCTGGGCAGGTGCTCTACCACCTAAGCCATGCCCCTCGCCTACTTTTACACATTTATACAGTCATGCAATGGTCAACCAGATCAAGTGTAGATCTTCTCCAGCATCCAGAAGGCTTCCTTGCACCTGCTCCTGGTCAGTACCACCTTACTAATTTGACATTCATAGTGAATTTTAAAGATAAATGGTAAGATTAAAAATAGTTAAGCTTTCTGAGATTCCCTTCCCTTCTTTCCCCCTTCCCTTCTTTTCCCTTCTCTTCCCTTCCCTTTCCTTCCCTCCCTTTTCCTCCATCACCCCTTCCTTTCCCTCTCTCCCTCCCTTTCTTCTTTCTTTTTTTGTGTGGGTTTTGAACTCAGGGCCTTCTTCATGCTCTCTACCACTGAACTAGAGCCCTGAGCCTTAGGAGGAGCTTTTTACTTCTTCAAGAGCTCCTTCTTCACTTGATATTTTAAGAAATATTTATTCGATGTGAGTGGGTGGGTTAATTCGTAGAGGAGTTAAACAGTGCACATAGTAGCTAGGCACACAGTAAGCCCTAAAATAATAGGTAATAATCACTAATAATACAACAATAGCTATTATTATGAGATGAAGAAGTAAAATTGAGTCTTTACCATTTCCATTATACTTCTTAGGGCAAGATAAACATAAAAGCTAAATTTCAAAATAAGGGAGGAAAGTATAGTTATGTTGACTTAAAAATCATAGTTTACTTTTTGAAGTTTTCATCAAATTTGCCTTGAAATGAAAGATTACAATCTGTCAGAAATTGCTGACTTAGTACCTACAGACAATTTGCAAGTATCTCATTCTTGTCCATTTATTTACTGAGAGCTTTGTATATACTAGGAATTGCTACTGAAAAAAATAGGAAAATAGGAAAAAATTCAGTGCCTACTCTCCAATGTCATCCTGCCCACTATTGTTACTATGGGTCCCAGAAACTTTACTATTACAAAGAAATTTCATCTTTGTTTACATACATGATTTCCTTCCACTTCCCTCATGTCTTACAGCTGAGAGAATTAAGAAATGATGAAGCCCAAACCAACCTTTGTCTCCGAGACCAGTGGAGCAAAACATGAAGGGAAAAAGGAAGGAAAGGAACAGGAGTGGCATGTGATTAATTGCTAAGTCTACCTCCTTCTGTAAATCACACAGGATCAAGGTGCTAATGTGAATGTTGAAACAATCAGGCCTAGCAAGAACTTCTGCTTGGCTTTTTATCACCTTCCAAAAAATAAAAAACAACTGAGCTATGCAGATATTATTTTAGGTTTAGTAAGTATGCCATCAGTATCCCTCCATGCTAAGTTGCTCAGTCAATGATGTAAGGAAGGTCTGTCTATACTTATTATTTCAGTAACTCCCCAACTTTTCAATACCAAAATCCTATATCCTCAAATAAGGTATATTGTTTGATACCACTTGTTTTGAAAGCTCTTGTCTATATAGCCAGGATAACTATTTTAATTCTCACCATTTTAAAGTTAATCACCCATTCAGAGATTCTATCTGGCAGGTGAAAACCCAGTGTTGTCACACCGGTTTACTGAATCTATCAGAAAGCCAAGAGTAAATGTTCTGAATCAGTTTTAGATATCTATTGCTGCTTTTTGAAATGTTTATGTTCTTTAATTATATAGTATCGCTTTCCATTAGCTTCAAAATTTTTTAGGTTCTCGGTGTTGGAAAATGAGAACATGGAATGGGAACACAATAAAAATAGACAATATCCAGTAGAAAAATGAACTTCACGCCTTCGCAGGAAACAGCTCTAGACCTGGGAGCACTTTTCAAGATCCCGGCGTGTCTGACCATGCAAGCACGCAGCCCCGCCCACACGATAACCCCGCCCACCACAGCCCCGCCCCCTGCTAGTGTCCCGCCTCAGATTCGGAGGAGTGGGTTATTATCACTGCAGTCCCACAATCAACCACAGGGAGGCGACAGCTCCCACAAGAGCCAAAGAGACTTTTCCAACGGCGGAAGCGGAAGAGGCGGGGCCTAGGGGCACGTTACGTCAGGACGTAAAGGCTGGTTCTCGAGAGTAGGTTTTTGTGCGTGTTGCCTCCTGCCGGGTTGTAGAGTTTGGACCTCATGGCGGAGATAATCCAGGAACGTATAGAAGATCGAATTCCCGAATTAGAACAGCTGGAGCGCGTTGGACTCTTCAGTCATGCGGAGATTAAGTGAGAGGCCTGGGGAAGAGGAAAGGCTGGGGAGGGCTATGGGGAGGTTAGGGCGTGAGAGTGGCGGGGGACAGGGGTGGGGGCACTTCAGTTGTGTTTATTTTTCCTAACATGGTGGAAGTCTGTTGCTGGGCTTTGACGGTGCCCAGAATTAAATTCTCACCCATTGCAAGGTGATTTGTTGGTCCATTTACCCACCATTCTCTACTGAAAGCCCCTCATGGAGCCGGGTTTCGGTGCCATAAGGTGGTAAAATGGGATGGATCCTGCTCATCAGGAGCTGACAGGTTACTAAGAAGGGTGGGGAATTCAACAAATTAAACATTTTGGTTACAGTGTAGCTAAGAGTGTAGTCCTTTAGCGATGTGAGCAGAGTGACTTCCTAACCAAACTTGGAGATGAAGACTGTTTAATTCCGTTTCGGATGCTATCCCAGAGCCTAGCCACAGCGCCTGCTACATAGTTGGCATCAGTAATTTGTTAAAATTATTATTATTATTATTATTATTTTTGCGGTATTGGGGTTTGAACGGAGGGTCTTAGCTCTTGCTAGGCAGTTGTTTTATCACTTGAACCAGGCCCCCAGCCTTAAGGTTCATTACTTTTATTTATTTATTTTGCGGTACTGGGGCTTGAACTTAGAGCCTTCAGTTGAGCCACTCCACCAGCCCTTTCTTGTGATAGGTATTTTCGAGATAGGGTCTCCTACACTTGCCCGCTCTGGCTTCGAACCGCGATCCTACTGATCTCTACCTCCTGAGTAGCTAGGATTACAGGCGTGAGCCACCGGCACCCGGCAATTACTTTAATAGTTTTTAGTGGTTTTCTGTGACTGTTTCTTCAACTTACAGTGACTAGATGCATTGTAATATGACCGTGGGAGCCTCAAACTAAACGTTTGTTAGTGAAAGAGAATACAGCTGTAGGGACTTAGTGCTCAGGAAGTGTTACCATTATTAAGTATAATTGTCTTGCATATCTTGCATTAAGTTTTTCTGATACACACGTTGTGTATTCACTTCTTAACAAAGAATGGCTAGTCTCCAAAAAATCAATAAGCTTTTTAAAGTAGAGACAATATAGATTTTTAAAAATTTATATGTTAAAAATGTAGAAACAAGATGATATTAGGAGAGATTTGATTACTATTTTGTGTGTGTGTGTGTGTGTGTGTGTGTGTGTGTGTGTGTGTGTACTGGGGCTTGAACCCATAGCCTACACCTTGAGCCACTCCACTAGCCCTTTTTTGTGATGGGATTTTTCAAGATAGGGTCTCTCCAACTATTTGCTGTCTTTGAACCACAATGCTCCTGATCCTGCCTCCTGAGTAGTTAGGATTACAGGCGTGAGCCACCGGTGGCACCGGGCAAAATCTAAGTGCAGAGGACTGGGGATGTAGCTCTGTATTGGTGTATGTGTGTGATGTAAAGCACTTAGCATTATTTGCTGGGGGGAATGTCAATGATTCTGGCAATTAAGTTGATTTTCCTGAAAGTTTTAAAATATATCCTGGTGTCCTTAAGAACACAAAAGTCATGTAAGAGAATACTTGCCTATAAAGGATAATTGTGCTTGAGAATTAGATGTTACGGTAAATATGTGTTTTAAATATACCCAAAAAATTTTTAAATGTTAAATACAAATTTAGCTTTTGCTCATTTCAAGTGTTATATATATATTTTTAAAATTTTTATTTATACTTTGGCTTTTTGAGGGTCTTGCTGTGTAGTCTAGGCTGGCCTTGAACTCACTATCATCCTACTTCTTCCTGTGCTGGGATTATAGTTGTGAGCTACCATGCTTGGCTAACTATTATAGTTTAAATGACTTTCTCCTCAGGGCTATCATTAAAAAGGCTTCTGATCTCGAATACAAAATACAGCGAAGAACTCTTTTCAAGGAAGACTTTATCAATTATGTTCAAGTAAGTGAATTATTTCATTGCTTTTTAATCCTCACAAATTTAAAATTGGTTAGAGAATAATGAACTTAGCATCATTTTCTACAAAATTCCAGAATTGCTGATGAAACAGATTTGTTTTTTTTTTTTAATCAGAATTAGAGATAAACATTAGGGGTTGCATTGCCCACTGAGGTTTAGTCCTTGCCAAACAACTGTTTATCTTCTTTCTTTTTTCTTCTTATTGGGTTAGTAGATCAGAGAATGCCAGAGACATAGTGTGTATTAGGATTTTAGCAAGAGATTTGACTCTTGGGGAAAAAGATAGAGAAGATAGAGAAGAATTTGATGATAGCAGATGGTTGGAAAGTGTAAGTCAACTTGGAAAGGAGATAATGCGCCAAGATTCTTCCTTTTTTTTTTTTCAGTACTGGGGCTTAAACTCAGGGCCTACACCTTGAGCCACTCCACCAGTCCTTGTTTGTGAAGGGTTTTTTCAAGATAGAGTCTTGTGAACTATTTCCCTGTTTTGGTTTTGAACCACAATCCTGATCTCTGCCTCCTGAGTAGCTAGAATTACAGGCATGAGTCACTGGTCCTGCCAGTTCTTTCATCTTTTAAATGGATGGAAGTTTGAGTGAAGACATACAGGTTGGACCCATTGTCAGATGGGGGAAGATAGCTAATATGTTAGATGACTGACTCAGAATTTAGAGCCAATAAGATGAAATAGTATAAAACTTCAAGTTTTGCTGGGCCAGCCTGGGCTACATAGTGAGATCCCCTCTCTGAATGAAAGAATGAATGAATAAATAAAGTTTTGAACTTTAGTTTAAAAAAAACAACAAAAAGCTTGACTATGCTCAGTGGCTCTTGCCACTGAGTAATCCTTGCTACTTGAGAGGGAAAGATATCAACCAGGATAGACTTAAAGTAATGTTGAGGACTAGGGATGTAGCTCAGTGGTAAAGTACTTGCCTAACACATGAAAGGTTCTGGGTTTGATCCCTGGCACTGCCAAAAAAAACCCAAAACAGTCATCATCCCGTACGGAATTATGAATGTAGTGTGACACCACTTACATAAAGTTTAACAGCAAAAACCAAGACTGCATTATTAGTATTAATTATTTTGATGGGACTAGGGTTTGAACTCAGGGCTTCACATTTGCAAAGCAGGTGTCCTACTGGGCTGACTTTGAACCTTGACTTTCAGATCTCAGTCTCCCAAGTAGGTAGAATTACAGGCGTGATCCACTGGCATTATAATAAAGTCCAAAGTCATGCTGGGAAATGATAGTTGAGATAGTTGCAACCTCTGGAGAAGGAGAAGAGTGGAATTAAAGATGGTATATAGGGGACTTGACCTTTGTCTGAAGTATTTTTGAAGATCTGAAGCAAATACAGTATAGCGTAGGCTTTCCAGTAGCTGTATGATAGCTGCACGAGGTTTTCAGTGTGCTTGAAATATTTAATAAACCAGTTACTTTTCAGTACTGGTAATCTAGGCCCCTGGGGCCTCACTCAAGCTCTAAGAAAGTTGAAAAATTTAATTGTTTTGCTTTTTTGTGATGGTGTGCTGTTGATTGAACCACATCCTTGTGCATGCTTGGCAAGTGCTATACTGCTGAGCCTGCACTGCTGCCCGCACATAAAACAGTTTTTAAATGAACCATGCAATCTTGTGAGACTGAGCTTTCTGTCTCTAATACTCTTTAAGTAGTAGCTTAGAGAACAATTAATGTAGTAGTGATTTTTTATTTTTAATTTTTTTGGTGGGACTGGGATTTGTACTCAGGGCTTGCTGCTTGCAAAGCAGGTGCTCTACTGCTTGAGCCACACCTCTAGTCATTTTGCTATGGTTATTTTGGAGGTGGGAGTATCCCAAACTATTTGCCCAGGCTGACCTTGAATCCCATTGTCCTCCTGATCTCAGCCTCAGCCTCTCAAGTAGCTAGTATTGCAGATGTGAGTCACTGGCGCTGGCTTATAGTAGTGAGTTTTAAAGAACATTAGGGGTTGTAAGTGATGGTGTAGGGGCTGTGGTAGAAAGAGCCAGTCAGGCTTGTCACTGTTTCATCTAGTAGAACTCTTTTGTTTTTCCTTTGGAGATAGGGCCTAATTATGTAGTCCAGCCTAGCCTCAAACTCATGATCCTCCTGCTTCAAGCTTCCCAAGTGCTGAGATTAAAGGCATGTGCCACCATGCCTGGCTTGGTTTTTTTTTTTTTTAACTGAAAGTTTGAATACACTGTTGTAAATTAGAATGCTAGATTAATTGATATTATAAATCTTGTAAGTCTCATGGTGTTAGTAACATGCTTTCTTTGAATTTTAGTTGCTAATAAGTTTGTTAATGATTCTATGTGTATTTGTAACTTTTACAGAGGTAAGGTAAATTTTCAATGAATTCTAGACATTTGTTTAAATTCTGCCTATTGAAAGCAAATCATCTTCTATTTTACGTTCTTGATTTTTTTATGATTTTAATTCTGTATATAAAAGGTTACAATTTTTCTTCTATTTCTTTGCATGTTCTTCCTCTACAGTATGAAATTAATCTTTTGGAGCTGATCAAGAGAAGAAGAACAGTGAGTAGATAGTTTTTTAGAAGTTGGAAAAAAATTGAGAATTAAGCAGGTGGTTCCATAGCTAGAACATATGTTTGGGAGACATACGTTTTGATAAACTGTGGTGTGCTCGTAAGGGTATTTGTAATCACTCACTTTGTCAGTACTTTTTTTTTCCTTTTTTTTGATGGTACTGGGATTTGAATTTAGGACCTCATGCTTGCTAGGCAGTAGCTCTGCCACTTGAGTCACACTCCCAGCCCTCTGTTGAATGGTCCAGTGAGAATGCTACTTTGGATAAATGTGATTAAGCTGACCTTTGTTTTTTTGTTCTCTTTTAGCGCATTAAATATTCATTTAAAAAGGATGAGATTGAACATTCTATTGTACACCGCATACAAGGTGTCTTTGGACGTGCTTCAGCAAAGTGGAAAGTAAGTGATTACAGTTTCTTTAACCTTAAGAAATGTAAGATTGGGGCTGGTGGAGACGCTCAAGTATTAGAGTGCCTGCTTAGCAAGCATGAAGCCCTGAGTTCAAACCCCAGTACTACCAAAAAAATCAAAAAGAGATGTAAGGATATATATTATACCTAGTCTGAGTTGGATATTCAAATGCATTGCTCTCTGTTCTCATCTTGGATGTCTTTTTTTTTTTTTTTGGTGGGACTGGGCTTTGAATTTGAATTTGAGCCACACCTCCAGTCCATTTTGCACTGGTTACTTTGGAGATAGGGTCTTGTGAACTATTTGCCTGGGCTGGCCTAGAACATTGATCCTCCTAATCTCAGCCTCCCAAGTACCTAGGATTACAGGTGTGAGCCGCCAGTGCCTGGCTTCATCTTAATAACTATTTGAATTATGGTGTCTTTGCTTGGAACATTGAGTCACATAAACCATTAAGAAAATTGAGCTTATTACCTCATTCTGAGAGGATTGTTCTGAAAACAGTGTATTAGACACATTACTAAGGATTAGAAAATCACCTGGGAGATGCTTGGATATCTCTAAGTGAAGTACACTGAAGCTTTGGAATGGTTTGGGAGGGGCAGAATCTTAATTACTTGGTGTTTTTTATGTTTGGTCTGGAACTGGACATCTTGTGTGGAAAGTGCTTTAGATTTCTGGGAATGTCACATTTTATGTTTCTATACCTGATTGAGACCTTTTTAGAACTGCAGTGAGCAAATTGAATAGACAGCAAATTTTCTTGGAGCATGGTGGGTAGAAGTGGAGAGTTAGATTGAATTATCATGCTTAAGAGATCCATCAGTGAAGAAGACCCTTACAGGGATCTTCTGAAACTTACCTCTGTTTTCATCAAAGTGAATTAATGCAAAGGTGCATTATATGTAAAGGTAAAATTCATGCATCTTACTGCACTGTTTTTCTTGCAGGATGATGTTCAACTTTGGCTGTCCTATGTAGTTTTTTGTAAGAAATGGGTGAGTAAAGCTGTCTTGCTTCCTCTTGCTTTCTTTCTGCTAGTCTGCCTTTTAAATTCATACTTCATTACTGGACTCCATGTTTTCTTCAGAGGTGTAGGGCTAACAAATGAGAAAACTCAGGAAAGCTAAAGTTGAACTTCATTTGTGTATCTAAGTCATTATATAAATGTCTTCCAATTCAGTTGAAAAGAAAATCATTTTAATGCATATTTATTCAATAAAATTGAAAAAATTTAATATATGCAGATGTTTAGTGGTTTAGATAGAAGAAAACTATGAGTGTGTCTATGTTTGTTGATATGTCACTAGCAATATCAGATCTTACCCCATTGGATTTTATACTTGGTGAGAGTACAGCACATATTTCTTACAGATTAATAATAGTAATGACTTCTCTGTGCAAGAAGTAGAAATTTTTCTTCCTTTTTTACAGGGTACCAAAGCTCAACTTAGTAAGATATTCTCTGCCATGTTGGCTGTTCATTCAAACAAGCCAGGTATGGTGAAATTCTCGTCAGTTCTTTCTCTACATTTTACTTAGACTCAAACCATTTTGCTATTTATTTTGCTAGACAAACCTAAGAGAAATTATTTGGTGGGTTTGAATTTAGACAATGGCCTTAGCAGTTTTTGTTCCTGGAAAGCTGCCTCTTATTGTGAATCAGCTGTTAGTGGGCCAGGTAGTGTATCTACCTGGACAAGAAGGATTATATTTCTTTTTGGCTGATGGAAGGTAAACAGAGCAGTCATTGAGGGTCACTTTATTTGGAGGCAGAGAAATGTGAAGGATTTCAAGTTTATTTATTTATTTATTTATTTATTATTCATATGTGCATACAATGGGATTTCAAAAGTTTAAAGGAGAAAATAGATTTTAGAAGCAGAGTAGGTGCTCATGTCTTAGAAGAGAAAAACTTGTGAGTAATGAGTGGTTGGTATGTTACTCTACTGTAGTGGCGCTTCAGTACCTATTCTCAGGGTGTTAGGCTCAGCCAGACATTTTATAGTACACAAGACTCAAATAGGCTATATTTGGCATCAGTTACTTAGAAGGATACAACAAGACAGCATTAAGCATATTTCTTCAGTAGAGTATTCCTAGCAGTTTTGAAGGCCAGTCTCTAGTCACCAAGGTGACCCCTCAGGTGTGATCCAAGGTGATCCCTAAGGTGCGAGGGGATGAGACAACACGTGAGCAGATAAGGGAACCATTCTGGTCTAGAAGTTCTATTGACGGGCATAGCTTCTAAAGGTCCACAATCAGTTTCAGGAGTCACATACTCAAGAAAACTCAAAGCAGTGACTCACCACCATTTGTGGCCCCCCAAAAAACTCCAGATGTGATTATCAATTGTGGGTCATTTGAATTAGAAAAAGTCTTGATAAAATATCTGACCTTTATTGAGTTTCTAGGAATACTTAGAATGTTAACTTAGAGTTACTTTTCCATGTAGAAAGACAAAGGGTTTTTAGACAATATAAACTATTTAAATATAGAGAGACATGTAAAAAATAATACCTCATTGATTCTAATAAATACAAATCTCTAATGTTTTAATAACCTGTAAAATTTGTATGTGACTTACAATGCTGGCCTTAGATCTGATGAAATACAGCAACAGGCACTCAGGTGACTTATCATTTTGAATGAACATTTTTAGCATTTACCTGTTGGCTTAGAAAACATTCTCATTTTGCAGTTAGAAACTCTCTCTGTTTCCAGCTTCCCCTTTTGGTAAGATTTAAAAAAAATACTGAGTATTGAGACCAATATGGAGTATTGGTCTTTTTTTTTTTTCTTGTGGTACTGAGGTTTGAACAGACATGCACCTTGACTACTCCATCAACCCTTTTTTGTGAATGGATTTTTTCAAGATAGGGAGGGTCTCACAGACTATTTCCCAGGGTTGGCTTTGAACCATGCTCCTCCTGATCTGCCTCCTAAATAGCTAAGATTACAGGCGTGAGCCACCAGCACCTTGTGGAACATTGGTCTTTTCTTGCCTAACTTGATTAATTTGCTGGAATGAACTCTGATTTTTTTTTTTTCACTTATAGCTCTGTGGATTATGGCAGCCAAATGGGAAATGGAAGATCGCTTGTCTTCAGAAAGTGCAAGGCACCTATTTCTTCGGGCTCTGCGCTTTCATCCTGAATGCCCAAAACTCTATCAAGAAGTGAGTGTTTGTAGGCTGGGGTCCTGGCTGAAGTGGTAGAGTGTCTGCCTACCAAGCAGGAGACTTAAGTTCAAAGCCTAGTCCTTTTCCCTCCCCCACCCCCAAACAGAGTGTATGCATAAATGAGAGATAAAAACTGAGGTAATTTCCTTTTTTTTCCTGTGCACATTTTTCGCATAGTAATTGTGTTTTATGTACAATTTTGTGTTCAGCTTTAACAAGATAAACAGTAGACTTACATACCATTCAAAATTACTGTTAACTATTTTCTGGCTGCACCAGAAGTCTGCATCTTTTACAGTCTGTCTCACTTTCCTTGTTGTTGGGCACTTAGATTGGTTCCAGTATTTGCTCTCACATGTTTGTCTATGAAACTTTTAGATATTTAGGGTTAATTACTCATGATAGAGTTTTGGAAGCAGAATTACTGGTTTAAAGGGAGTAAACTTTTTTTAAAGTAACTTCATTTTAATGTCTTGAATCATTAAGGCTCAGGACTGGGAAGGTAGCTGAATGGTAGAGCAGTTGCTTAGCTTGCCTGAGCCCCTGAGTTCACATGAGTACCTCGCACTAACTGATTGTGCCACTAGAGCGCTGGGCCCCTTGGTTCAGTCCTCAGCACTGCAAAAAAACCCCAAAATTCTGGATAAATCTAACTATATAGCACATGTATTCTTAATTATGCATTAATTTCTCTTGATATACCTACAATGGTATTACAACCTTCATGCAATTTGATACTACATATTTATCATTGATTTATTTTTTTTTCAAAGCAGTAGCAAAGCCTTATTGAATGAAAAAGGAAAGAAAAGGCGCTGTTAAAAAAAAGAGCAATGGGCTCTAGCCAGGTGGCATAGAAACTGATTTTATTTTGAAATAATTACAGATTATTTCAGAAAGATAATACAGTGAGGCCCTGTGTACCTTTCACCTGGTTTCCCCGAGTGGTTACATTTTATGAAGCTAGTAAAATATCAAAACTAGGAAACTGATGTTGGAAAATTTGTGTATATAGTTCTTTGTCATTTTTCTCACATGTATAGATTTGTTTAACCACCATTGCAGTCAAGATTCAGTCTCCAAGTTCACTGACTTCTGTATTCTGCTATTGGACCCACCACTGATGTTTTAATTTTTTTTCCAACTGTAAAAGGTTTTTTTTTCTCCCATTTTTTGGCAGTATTGGGTTTTGAACTCAGGGCCTCATGCCTGCTAGGCAGGCATGAGCAATTGAACACTCCACCAGTTCATGTCTTCTATTTACCATTTTTTCATTTGTTTCAAGTGTGTTTATAATTGCTCAGTCATGCTCTTTTATGATGGTCAATTTAAAATCTTTATCAGATAATTCTAATTTCTTGATAGTGCTGTCTTTTTTTTCTTTTAAATAATTTGACAATTCTCCAGTAATTCTCTTTTATTATTATTACTATCATTTCATTGTTGTACTGGGGGTACATCATGACATTTACAAAAGTGCTTACAATATATCTTAGATTCATCCCCTCCATTATTCTTGTTGACATCTCTTATTTTTCATTGAAGTTGAGGTTTTCCTGGTTCTTGGTATGATGGCTGATTTTCCATGAAATCTTAGACATTTTGGCTATTATTTTATAAGACTGGAAATTGTTTAAATTTCCATTTATTAGACCTCTTCTGAGATTGCTCTTCTTCTTTACTGCTAAGTGGGGAGAGAAGCCCAAATTCCCCACTCAGTATATAGGTTGACATACCTGGATGAGGTTATAAGTAAAATTCCTTGCAGAAACTTTCACTGTTGAGGAGAAACTGACACTCTAGCATGCTTGTTGTTTCTCTTTGCCAGATTTTAATGTCTGTTTATTTGTGAAGTGATAATCAAGGATACAAAAACATTTTTACAGTTTTTGATTCATATGCCCTGATTGCATGTCAAAGAGCGTAAAATAGTATCACTCTCACCATACCTTGTTATCAGCTAGTTTCATAAAAAAGTAAAATGTTATGGTCCCCCAACTTTCCCAGATATAATATTTATGGGTTTAAAAAAAGTCATTCGTATATGTATATATTTATATATATATATAAATTTTTTTTTTCTTAAATTCATGGTTGCCATCTCATTTCTAACAGAAAAAGGTATCTTTAAAGAGTTTCAGATCATTTTTTCCTTTTTGTAGTACTTTAGGATGGAGCTGATGCATGCTGAGAAGCTGAGAAAGGAAAAGAAAGAATTTGAAAAAGCTGCCATGGACGTGGTAAGATCTTACTATATTGTCATTTGTTAATAATATGTAGCTTTTTGAGCCTGCTTAGGAGTAGAGAAAAATCTTTGGAATACATATTTTTTTCCTTTTTATTTATTTGTTTATTTTTAGCAGTTTGGGGGTTTGAACTTAGGGTCTTGTGCTTGCTCGGCAGGCACTCTACCACTTAAGCCATACCCCAGTCCTTTTAAAATTTTTTCCCAATTTAATGTTGTTACATTTTGAAACTTCAAGATGAGTCTTAAGTTGATTTAATTAAATGGATTTAGTAATTTAAAAAATAAAATTTTCTGCCTTAAAGATAGATTGAAGTAGTCCTCAAAATTATTACTGCTGGAATGGCTAAATGCTTTTCTTTACTTCCATATGATCTCATTAAGTGCTATAGTAATTGGTCCACAGAGCTTGAGAAAAGGGCTGGCAGAGTGGCTTAAGTGGTAGAGAACCTGTTTAGCAAGTGAAAGGCCCTGAGTTCAAATCCCAGTACCACCAAAAAAAAAAAAAAGTTTGGGAAAGGTTCTAAAATGCATGGTTTCTAGCCTTATATTTTGGTGGTACTGGGGTTGAACTCAGGGCCTCACACTTGCTAGGCAGGTGCTCTATCACTTGAGCCACTCTGCTAGCCCTTTTTCAATGGTTTTTTTCAAGACAGAGTCTTGAACTATTTACCCAGGGCCGGCTTTGAACTGTGATCCTCCTGATCTCTATTTCCTACTGAGTAGCTAGGATTACAGGTGTGAGCCAGTGGCTCCTGGCGTTTTTTTTTTTTTTTTTTTGAGATAGTATTGCCATGTAGCCCAGGCTGGCCTGGAATTTGCAATTATGCCTTAGCCCCCTGAGTGCTAGGATGACAGGTGTGCTTTACCACAAATGACTTTTTTCCTTTTTACATATTTTAATGTGGTAGAATAATTTAAAAAAAAGAAGATTTAGAGTGTTAGAACTGAAGTACTGGGTGTGGTGGTGCATACCTGTAATCCCAGCACTCGAGAATGGAAGCATGAAGATCATGAATTCCAGTCCAGTGGTACTATATATGTGAGACCCTAGCTCAAAAAAAAAAACAAAGAATGTTAGTGCTGAAAAGGGAACTTTGCTATATTGTCTGTTACTGTGGTTTCTAGCCCAGAACTCTTTTTTTTTTTATGGTACTGGGTGATGAACTCGAGGCCTTGTGCTTGTTAGGCAGGCACTCTGCCACTTGAGCCATGCCTCCGTCTGTGCTCAGAACTTTTTTTCTCCAAATAAAATCTTATGTAGAAGAATAATGAAAGCATACACAGCCTGTTCTGTTCTGGTGAGGCTTTAAGCCTTGTGATTCCCCCACCACTCCAGGAGCCTGAGAGAACCAGCTGGAAGATCAGTGATCTTGTTCAGGCTGGGGGAGGTGGGATTTGCCAGAGGTCACGTGACACAGGTAGTCTAGGAGTATTAATTTTATCCCACTGCTCTTCTATTTACTGGTAGTACCGTTTAGATTATGTGTCATGTAACACTTTGTAGGGGGAGTTTGATCACCCTGAAGAAATCCTTATGGGCGAGTTGGCGAGGATCATCTACAAAACTTCTGTAAGCAAGATTAAAGGTAGGTATCTTTTTTTTTTTTTTTTTTTTTTTTTTTTTTTCTTTTATTATTCATATGTGCATACAAGGCTTGGTTCATTTCTCCCCCCTGCCCCCACCCCTCCCTTACCACCCACTCCACCCTCCCGCTCCCCCCCCTCAATACCCAGCAGAAACTATTTTGCCCTTATCTCTAATTTTGTTGTAGAGAGAGTATAAGCAATAATAGGAAGGAACAAGGGGTTTTGCTGGTTGAGATAAGGATAGCTATACAGGACATTGACTCACATTGATTTCCTGTGCGTGGGTGTTACCTTCTAGGTTAATTCTTTTTGATCTACCCTTTTCTCTAGTTCCTGGTCCCCTTTTCCTATTGGCCTCAGTTGCTTTAAGGTATCTGCTTTAGCTTCTCTGCATTAAGGGCAACAAATGCTAGCTAGTTTTTTAGGTGTCTTACCTATCCTCACCCCTCCCTTGTGTGCTCTCGCTTTTATCATGTGCTCATAGTCCAATCCCCTTGTTGTGTTTGCCCTTGATCTAATGTCCACATATGAGGGAGAACATACGATTTTTGGTCTTTTGGGCCAGGCTAACCTCACTCAGAATGATATTCTCCAATTCCATCCATTTATCAGTGAATGATAACATTTCGTTCTTCTTCATGGCTGCATAAAATTCCATTGTGTATAGATAAAAGGTAGGTATCTTTTGAACATTTATTGGTGATAGGAAAGTGAAACATCTGTTTATAATGAGAATTGCTAGCTAGTTTTGAAATTTTCCAGTTGAATGTAAATAAATCTCTAAGAATAGTGTCCTGTAGCTCTCAGAAAAGGCTTATTTTTCTGGTGCTGTAATTGGATACTTCAATTTTTTATTGAGTACTCATTTGGGGAGTTAAAGAAATTAATGGTTTAGTCTATTCTGTTATCTCCTTAAGAGGTTTTGTTTTGTGTTTTTGCCAGCACTGGGGCTAGAATTTAGGGCTTTCACCTTGAGCCACTGTGCCATCCCTTTTTTGTGATGAGTTTTTTCAAGATAAGATCTTGCAGAATTTTTTGCCCAGGCCTGCTTCCAATATCGATCCTCCTGATCTCTGCCTCCTGAGTAGCTAGGATTACAGATGTGAGTCACTAGCATATGACTCTGTAAGAAGTTTAGAATGAGGCTAGGCATGTTGATGTATGGCTGTAATCCTAGCTAATCCCTGCTACTCAGGAGGCAGAGATTGGGAGGATCATGGTTTGATGCCAGCCTGGGCAAAAAGTTAACAAGATCTCATCTCAACAAATAAGCCAAGAATGGTGGTCATGTCTGTAATAATCCCTGCTGTGTAGGAGGTGTAGGTATGACAAAAACACAACAGACTCTATCTAAAAAATAAGTAAATCTGAAAAGGGCCTGGGGCATGGTTTAAAGTGGTAGAGTGCCTACTTAGCAAGCCAGAAACCTTAAGTTCAAACCCATTACTGCCAAAAAGTTTGAATGAAAGTTACAACTTATGAATATTCTAAAATGTTAGTAATGGCTTTTGATCATGTAGTGAGAACATGGAATGACCTTTCCCCCCTATTTTGTCCTACTTCTCAAAAGCCCCAACCAGAAAACCAACTCCAACTGGGGGTATAGCTTGGTGATAGAGCATGTGCTTCACATGTGTGAGACCCTGGGTTTTATTCCCTAGACCTGCAATACAAAACCAGAGCCAGGCATCGTGATGCACATCTATAATCTCAGCACTGGGGAGGCTGAGGCAGGAGTATCACAAGTTTGAGGATAGGCTGGGCTACATCGTAAGACCTTGTCTCAAAAAGAAATAAAACAAAATAGCCAAAGAACTAACTCCACGTTACCAGGAAAATGGTGCTCTACAGTCTAACTGCCAATGACTCTCCCCTCCCTCCTTTTAAAATTTTAGGTGCAGAATTTCATGTGTCACTTCTTTCCATTGCTCAGCTATTTGATTTCGCCAAAGATCTACAAAAAGAAATTTATGATGAGTAAGTAAAACAATGGAAAGGTGATTATGTCTATTTCTGGTCTTCTGGTCGGAATTTGATGTTGGGTATTTTGTTTTGTTTTGTCAGTACTGGGGTTTGAACTCGGGGCTTTGCAGCTAGCTAGGCAGGCGCTCTATCACTTGAGTCACACCTCCAGCCCAAGGTTGGGTTTTTAGAAAGGGGAGGAAAGAAAATGCCACACTAGAAGTTTTAAGAAAAGTTGTGTCCTAGTGTACATGGAAAAGTATATTTTCAGAGGGGTTCTTGATTTACTTACAGGCTTCCTTTTGGAAATACCATTCAATAACCAGTATATCCTAAGGCTTATATCAAAATGTACACCCTAATTTCCTGCATGTTTTCTGTTCATAAAATTAGAGCTATATTTAGATCTTCAGATCTCTTGGGTTTTTTTGTCAGTACTGGGATTTGAATTCAGGGCCACTTGTCTGGAGTTAAGCTGTTTATCACTTGAGTCATGCCCTGCAGCCCTGTAGTCATAACTTTTTATAGTTAAGTGTTGTAGTAAATTTTATTCTTCGATGTCTGATTTTATTATTTAAGAATTATTTGTGTCTGTCTTGTGAATACTTCCCTTCTTATGCATCCACGGAGATAAGATAGCATGTGGATCAGTTTGTCCTTTGGATATTTGTTACAGGATTACCTGTGCTCTTTCTCTGCCTCTATTATTATAGGAATTCAACAGCCTAGATGTAAGTCCTCCAGGACTCATGGAGGCTCTGTGGTTACAGATAAAACTGATTTGACTTTGAGAGTTACTTGAAAGTTAACATTTGTGAAGGATATCTGAAACACTCTGAAACTCAATATATGTGTGACAACTTTGTTCCATTGACTGTTAGTCAATACTGTGGAGTTCAGATGTTCTGGAGAGCCTATGGGAAATGGTTCTTACAGCATTGCAGTTGTGAAGGGTGTCATGTGCACATTTTTAGACCATGGGGAATTGTCTCTCTGTTTGATATTCTGGAGTTAGTCTTTTTTCATAGGGCAGATGCCAATAAGCTGTAATTTTTAGCCTTCAGGCTCTGCACACGGATGACCCTCTCACTTGGGATTATGTGGCACGGCGAGAATTAGAGATCGCATCTCAACCAGGAGAAGAACAGCCTGCAACAAAACAAGCCAGAGCAGTGGAGGTGGCCCAGAGAGAGGAGAGGTGCTGTGCTGTGTATGAAGAGGCAGTGAAGACTCTGCCTACAGGTGAACTTCTCTGTCATGTGATACAGAAGTCAAGGATCTGTGAGTGTGAAACTGACACTCCCCCTCCAAATACCAAAATCCATATTTTATAGTATAGTTTACAATGTGCCTGTCTTTCCAGCTTGTTCTTTCTCTGATGGTGAACATTAGAATGTTAGTGAACTTCAATAATAGCATTTATGTTCATGTATTTGGAGGAAATGATACTTAGGATATGATAATTTTTGAATTTTTACTTGGAATTTTTTGTCTTAGAGATTTAATTTTTATTTTGTAATAAAGGGGAATAAGGGCAGGGGGACAAAAAAACTGGGCAGGACTTCTGAGCTTGTGCTGTTACTCAGTCATTTTTCCCCAATGTTTGATTAGCTATAATCAGAGTAACACTTTTTAATCAGGCTAATTTAAATTCTTCAGAAGATGTATGATGTTTGTTGGTCAGTTGGTGATCTGAGTAATGTAATCTGACTTTTTTAGAGGCCATGTGGAAGTATTATATCAACTTTTGCTTAGAAAGATTTTCTAAGAAGACCAGTAGTGTGTTTCTCAGAGGGAAGGTAAGGACTTATGTTGTTATAGTTCCTGATTAGAAAGTGCCTGGCTTCTGAAAGAACAGAAGCACAACTCGTTTGGGGTCTGGGCCAGCTTTTGAAATTTTATGTATAATCACTCACTTTCTCCTGGTGGGTGACCTGTCATTTTGAAGGTCTGAGTCTGTGTTGCCCTTATGGCCACAGGACAGGAGGGGCTCTCTTACTGCATTATGCCTGATATAGTTGCTTACTCTTCTTCTGAGTGATACCACCAAGCAGGAGCAACTCAGTCCTTTCTCTGAATTCTCAGAAATACACAAAATTGCTTTTGTTCAGATCAGATGTTAGAGACCCCTGCTGGGATCTTTTTAACAAACTGATGGGATCTTTCTGATTCCAGAGGCTGGAAAGAACCATGAATACATTCAGGAAGGCACATGAACTCAAGCTCCTTTCAGAATTCCAGTACAAGCAGTGGGTAAGGTCATAGAAAACACATTCACTGCCAGTTACATATACTTTATTCCAGTTGTTTTCTGTTGATGGTGTGTGTGTGTGTGTGTGTGTGTGTGTGTGTATATACATATATGTAATTTATAAAAATAAAAAAATATGTATAGTTACATGACTAAGCTGATTTGGAAGTTTGATATGCAGAGGGTGTTTACATATGGTTGTCAGTATTTGGTGGATGCTAAAAAATGAAATCTTTCAGGAACGGAATATTGCATAGTGGAAAGCATGTGAACAAAGAATCTGAGTTTGGGTTTATTTTGTTCGCTCATGATTATTTGCTTACTTATGCAGGGGATGGAACGCAGGGTCTTGTGCATGCTAGGCTAGTGCTTTACTACTGAGCTCTACCCTCAATCCCATCCATCCATCTTTTACTGAACTTTGTTTTCTTGAACCTGTGCCTGGCACAGCCACTCACGCAATAAAGAATGAGATAAAGAACCTGTGCCTGGCATAGCCACTCACGCAATAAAGAATGAGATACATTCCTGCGTTTTGGATGCTGACCCTGTAGTTAAGAGGAATATTAACCCTCTGGGGCTGTGGATGTATCTCTGTGGGTAGACCGCTTGCTTAGTGTGCTCAAGGCCCTGAGTTCCATCTCAAGTGCTACCAAAAAACAAACAAATAAACAAAAACTAAAATAACCTCTCTTATGCTGTGGTGTGGGTAAAGACTGTTAGAAAGCCCAGAATAATGTGCTGTGGAAATACAGTTTTAGACCAGATTTTACTACTTAGTAGTTAGATTACTTGGGCAAACCATGTAATTTTTTTGAGTTTGTTTACTTTATTTAAAAATAGTGATCCTTGTTTTTACCTTTTCACAAAACTGTTGAGATAGTGAATGTGCTAAAATATTTCAATGTCTTTATTGGAGGAAATAGAACAAAAATCTTCATATTTTCTGAGTGTCTTTTATTTTTATGATTTCTGCCTTTTTTTTTTTTTTTTTGGGTGGCACTGGGGTTTGAACTCAGAGTTTCACACTTAAAAAGCAGGCACTCCACCACTTGAGCCACTCCTGTATCCACTTCTGCCTCCTTTGCTCGATAAAATTTTTACTTAATTGCAATTAATGTCTTATTATTTTGTATTGTATTCAACTATTTACATTAACATTCCCCATTTTTTTGGTCACATATATAGTATATGGTAAAGCCTCTACTATCTACCAATGAGATTCCCCTTGTGGTACCATCTGGGAAAATTACAGGCTTGGATGATTTCTGCTCCCCTGCTTGAGCTCTTCCAAGTTAGTCACACTGTAGATTCAAGTGTCCTCTGTGTATTGCCTCAGCAGTCCTGCCGTTCTTCCATTATCATCTTTCTTTTGCATTCAGAACTGTTTTTCAAGCATTCTGAATACTCAGCTCTCTGACCCTGCCTTTCCTACACTCACCACCTGAGCAATCATTTGATGACTTTGCTTTTAATAAGAGTCCTTTGACAGGCTGGCCTCAAACATAAATGCCTGGCTGATTCTACACACATCCTTTCTCCAAATTATTCTCCACAGAACCATCTTTTGAAATTACAGATTATCCTGTGGTTTCCCATTATCTTTTGGATGAAGCTCCTTAAGTTGACCCCTGGGTATATTTCTAGGCTCATCTTCCAGTCCTTCCATTTGTATCTTACTCTTCAGCTGTACTGAACTTGAATTTCCTTTTATATCCCAACTGGTTTTCATCTTCAGCCTCTTGTGCATGCTGGTTGGGAGAGCCTTTCTCTTTTTTCCTGTCTGGAGCCTGTTTCTCTGTAAGTCTTAGCTTGATGCTTCCTTTCAGGAAGTCCTTTCTGTCATTGCCAGAGACCTTGCTGGTGCTTCTGATGTGTGCTCCTGAGGCAGATGGTTCTTTTTCTGTCATGGCTTATATCAGACTGTCTCTTTTGTTGGATGAAACTCTGTGGGCAGTAGAGTACATGTCTGATTTGCTCACTACTGAGTAACCTATAACAGTGGATAATAGAAATGCTTGCTAAGTGAAGTTATCACATACTGCCATTTACTTGCTTTTTCACAATTTTGTAAAATTGGAGTCATTTTAGGGTTTTTTTCTTTATTAAACTAGTATTGATACAAGCATTTTGAACAGATAAGTTTTCCTTCATTTATTTCTTGAGCCATATTTGTTAAAATAAAATTTAAAAATTTAATACTTTCCTGACCTTTTTTTTTGGTGGAACTGGGTTTTTTTCTTAGGGTTCATACTTGCAAAGCTGGTGCTCTGCTGCTTGAGCCATACCTTTAGTCCATTTTGGTCTGGTTATTTTTGGAGATGGGGTCTTGTGAACTATTTGCCTGGGCTGGCCTCAACCTTGATCCTCCCGATCTTAGCCTCCCAAGTAGCTAGGTTTATAGGTTTGAACCATCAGTGCCCAGCTTTTCATGACTCTTACTACTAGTATTGAGTTACAGTTCACAAAATTGTAAAAGTTTATAGTATTTCCAACTCCATTTGAATAAATATACCTATTTCTTTACTGTTCTGTAAATACTGGTTTCATCTTTACTGATTATTATACTTGGGGTGGTATGGGGCCAGTTTAAATTATTTAGGCTCTCTGCTTTTCATCTCTTCCCTGGTTTTTGATAGTCTTTATGGATAGGAATAAGGAAAGGAGGAGGAATTTCAAATTGTTCCTTTTTTGCCTGTTTAGCCATGATGTTAAGAGATTTAGTTAGAAGGGCTGTTGAAATTGTTGCTTTAAATGAGGTCTTTGTTTCTATTTACAAAAGTATAGGTTTCAGTGTAATTAATTTTCCACTGATCCTTTATCTTACTTAGGTTGAGTTGTTGTTGCAACATGACTTCTTTCGGGAATCTCTAGAGGTGGCAGAAGCTGGGACTGAATTGTTCAAGGATTCTGTGACAATGTGGCAGATGAAACTGCAGGTGCTAATTGACTCAAAGAGCCCTGACATAGCCACACTTTTTGAAGAAGCCTTTGTGCACCTGAAACCTCAGGTCTGTGAGTTGGGTCTTTCGTATTTCTTTATGTGTGGGAAACCTTTTAAGACTTTAGTGAATACTCATTTGGAATGTACTTGTCTGATAAGAGCCTATCCTAGAATGACTTTTGTTGTTAAGTGGCAGTGATTCCAGAGTCAAGAGTAGAAGAATTTACTTCCTTTCTATAGCCTGTTTCTAATCCTTTAAGTTACAAAAAACTTCCTATTCTGTTTAGACATCTTATAATTGAGAAATACTAATAGAATAGTTTCACTTATATCCAAAGCTGATCATAAGCTCTCTTTTTAATCCCAAATATATTTCTAAACCTTAAAATATAAAGGTATAAATCTTAAAGATTTGCAGTAATTCTTTTATATTAGTGGGAAAAGAAGTAGTCCAGAAGGTAATGTGAGAGACAAACTATTTTACTGCTCATTTGTGTTTGCCTCTGGGACCTGAAGATCAGACATTTTCAGTCTAGATTAATTAATGCATGACCTGGGTAGCTGTGGGTCTGACTGGCTGTGAGCTGTTAACTCCTTATTGAATGAAAGATTATTAATGATGACTGCAGGTGGTATTCCCCAATAGAAGGGAACTAAAATCATCAGGAGTGTTTCTCTGGACGACTTGATTTGAAGATCACCTGTGTTCTACCTTGCCATTTTTGCTGGGCAATGAGAATTGTCTCATAATTAGCATAGACTAGAAATAAACCCATATTTTACATTTGATTATCTTAGAAGAACCTGTCTTTATAGTGGTTAGTTTTCAGAGCATATTTCTGAGCAGTCTTTTTTTTTTGGTGGGACCAGGGTTTGAACTCAGGGCTTCACGTTTGCCAAGCAGGTGCTCTAACACTTGATCCATGCTTCCAGTCCATTTTGCTCTGGTTCTTTTAAAGATGGGGTCTGGTGGGCTACCTTCAACCTTGATCCTCCCAATCTCAGCCTCCCAAATAGCTAGGATTATAGCTGGAGCCATCCACCCAGCTAGCAGTGGTTATCTAACATTTTTTATTGTTAGCAGGTTTGTTTGCCCTTGTGGATTTTATGGGCAGAATGGAGTGAAGGTGCCAAAAGCCAAGAAGGCACAGAAGCAATCTTTAAGGTAGTGGCTCCATGGTCTGTGCTTTGTGAAGTGGGGAATGGGTGTTTTTTCAGCAGGTGGTCCTAAAGTATTATTGAATGGCTGGGATGGTACTGGGAGAATTTGTTTTGATACCTATAAATTTCCTGACACAGCTTGTTCCTTTTTTTTCTTAAACTGTAGAAAGCTATCTTAGCCATCACAGGTGCCAATTCAGCAACTCTGAAGGATAAATACCTGGATTGGGCTTATCGAAATGGTGGCTACAAAAAGGCCAGAGCTGTGTTTAAGAGGTACTCACAAACATTCATGGATGTTTCTAGTCTTTCCGGCTGTGCTCAGCCCCTATACTCATATTGTGTGCATCATGAATAGTATCTGAGGAAGTAATTCAAGAGACTTCATCAAAAAGTTATGTTTCCTTTTCTTTTTCTTTTTTTGAACAGTAAAATCATACCCATTGTGGGGGAAAAATAAGCAATTCATTGTTGATGGTCATATAACCTCATCATTAAAAGATAAAGTACAGTTAATACATCATTTCTTTTTTGTGGTGGTGGGGATTGAAACCATGGCCTTATGCATGCTAGACAAGCATTTTACTACTGAACTGTGCCCCCAGCCTACTATATCATTTTAAAATTTGTTTCTTATGTAGTTGAGATTATAATATAATCACAATTTTGTTTGCTACTTTTATTTATGTTAGACTAGCCCCTTCAGTAAAAATTCTTCATAAACATAACTTAAAAATAGCTGTTTGGAGCTGGCTGCAGTGGCATATGCCTGTAGCCCCAGTTACTCAGAAGACTGAGGTGGGAGGATTGTTTGGGCCCAGGAGTTTGAGACCAGCCTAAGCAACATAGTGAGGCCCTATCTCAGGAAAAAAAAAAAAAAAAAAAAAATTTAACATATCACTCTAAATGGGCCGTGATTTCTTTGGCCACAGTAATACTGTTCTGATGAACATTTCTGTGGAGATATTATTTGTCCATTTTGCAGATTATCTCCTTAGAATATATTCTTAGAAATGGAATTATTGGCCGCCAAAATGTGAGTAAGGAAAGAACAGGAGGAAAAGTGAATGGGAAAGAGTTCAGTGGTGGCAAAGAGCAAGTAACTAGAGGTTAAAGGTGTTCCTTGAGTCGTGGAGTCAAGGTCCAGTCCTTGCATTGACTCCAGCCAAGTCTTCATTAAACCACTTGTGCTGGAGGTCCTTCACATTTGTGAGCTGTGAAAGGCTTTCTGTCATTGTGAAAAATAACATTCTCCCATTCTTTTTTAGTTTACAGGAAAGCCGTCCATTTTCAGTGGATTTTTTCAGGAAAATGATGCAGTTTGAAAAGGAGCAAGTAAGTGTCGTAAGCACTTCTTTTTGGGAACATGGGTTTTGGTCACTAATGTATGGCAGCATGTTAAATTTCATTATGATACAGTATACAGTTTGGTCTCTTGGTCCAGCCGTTTTCCATAGAGCTGGTTTAGGACTGGTAATCAAGCAGACAGGAGAAAGTGTATGTCTGCAGAATAGAAAACTTAAGTGTCACCTCTTACAGGAAGCCTCCCTATCAGGCCAGGCGAGGTGCTGTGCTGCTGCTTTGCCTCCACAGTGCTCTTTGTCTCTTGCTGTGGGTGGTGAGGTAGAGAGTAGGCACTCAACTACTCTTTCTGGTGTTTGAAATGTAACTTGTGAGTGAGGGAAAGGATAGGAATATCTCAGTTAAAAAATAATACACGAAATCCAAATGTGTCTGCAATCTGATTACGTTAATGCTGCCAACAATACTTGTTTATTTATTTTTTTGTGTGGTTCTGGGGATGGAACCCAGGATCATGACTGCTAGGCAAGTGCTCTATTACTGAGCTGTATCCTCAGCCTGTTTTCTTTCACTTTTTATTCACAGGTGCAAACATGGTTTTGTACTGTTATGTTTCTGACTTATGTGTCACCTGGGGGTTTCTCCCTCACCTTTCTTCCCAGTGCTAGAGATTGAGCCCAGGGCCTTGTGCATGCTACCCAAGCACTTTTCCACTGAGCTACATTTCTGAGCCTTGATTTTTTTTGAGACAGGGTTTCACTGGCCTTGAACTTGCTATATAGCCCAGGGTGGCCTAGAACTCACACTCTTCTGAGTGCTGGGATTGCAGGTACGTGTCACCACACCTGGCTGGGTTTTCTCTGTTTAAACAGCTTTATTTTGTAAACACATTCCTGTTTTTACCTGTTAAATGATCTTTTTTAATGATTGTAGTGTTATTAAACCTTCAGTTTTCATATCTATTCCACTACATATAAATTATTTCTACTTTTTTGATATTGGAAACAGTGCTGTAAATATTTTATGTAGCTTTTTTTTTTCTCCTTTCAAATTACTGTGTTGAAGGCTAGGGATGTAACTCAGTGGTTTAGCGTTTGCCTGGCGTGCTCGAGGCCCTTTGTTCTATCCCCCAGTACTGGGGAAAAAAGTTACTCTATTGAAATAAATTTCTAGGATTGGTGATTTTTTTTTTTTTGACATTTTTAAGAAATACATTGCCATACAGTTTTCCAAAAGAATTATTCCTGATTATAGAGATAATCAGCAGTTATACCAGCATACCTATCTCCTTGTATTTTCTCCAAGTACTTGGTTTTGCTTTTTCTCTTTTATTTTGGTGTTTTACTTTATGTTTAGTATTTTTATTTGAACTTTGAAAAATTACTAGTTCTGACTCCTTTTTCCATGGTTTCAGTCATTGCTGCTCGAGTCAAATATCTGTTCTTGTCTTGTGTAGTATAATCTTACACTATAGGGGGTAGTTTGATATAATGTGTAATAGCCAGACTTTGAATTTTTTTTTTTTTATGATGGTACTGGGGTTTGAACTCAAGGCCTCTACCACTTGAGCCACTCCACTAGCCCTTTTTTGTGTTGGATATTTTGCCTTGTACATCCTAGGCAAGTACTCTACCACTGAGTTACAACCTAGCTCAGAAAGTAGATATTTTATTATATAATTTTTAGGGCTGGAGTTGTGGCTAAGATGGTAGAGTGTCTACCTCACAGCATGAGGTCCTGAATTCAAACTCTAGTACCAACAAAAACAAAACAAAATGAAACAAAAGGATTTTTAAACTGAAGATGTCAATTTACTTTGAAAATGAAACAAAAGTGAAATGCATTTAGAAGTTAGCAGTTTATTAATTACAAAAATAATGACAGTCATTCTGCTAGGTGCATAATTAATCAGCATTTTAATACCTGTAGTTTCCCAGAAGATAACTATCCTTGTCTTCCAGGTGAGGAAATATTTAAGGTCAGAGAGCTTAAAAATCTTGAAGATCATATGCTAGTATTTATACCTTCACCATGATACAAAAAGTTTTAAGGTAGACACATCTAGTTGGTGCCAGAGCTCAGATACTCAAAAGGAAGAAATCCTTAGCCATGGGGAGTAGACCCTTCTCCATTCATTCCTTGATATAAATCCTACTCACCCCTCAAGACTTTAAAAAATATTGTTTCCTGTGAAGCTCCTTATGTTTCCCACAGAAAATTTATTAGGCCTTTCTCCATGCCACCAGAGCAGAGTGTTTTCATGTTGACATTTACTTTGCTCTAGTAAGGTTTGTTTTCTCTCCTCTCCTTCCCTCCTCTCCCCTCTCCATTGAAAACTAGGCTAGTTTATCTTAAACCCTGACCTTTCTTCCCCTTCAGTATGGTTGGATTAAATTTGTGACATGAGTTAGGCTTTTGAGGCAAGATTGTCTGATTGTTTTTGTTAGGAATCCTGCAAGATGTCAAATTTAAGGGAATATTATGAGAGAGCTTTGAGAGAGTTTGGATCTACAGATTCTGGTAAGTAAACTTCAATGGCTTGTGCAGTCTGTGACTATTAGTGTGGTTAGAACAGTGTTTCTTAACTTTTTTGCATCATAGCCTTCTTTTAGAATAAACCCTGAATCCTTCACCTGCCTCCTTCCCTTGTTTTATGCAAAATACTTGGACACATAAATTTTGGGGGTGTAGGGCAGTCCTGGGGATTGAACCCAAGGCCTTGCACATGCTAGGCAAGTGCTCTACCACTTGAGCCATGCCCCCAGCCCTGGACATGCAATTTAAATTCATAAGCCCAAGAACCCATGGGCTCTTAAGAACTTTGGATTACAGAAAGATTTACTTGATTTGGCTCTCGTTAAAAAAGTATTTACAGGAAGAAGTTAATAATGTAGGTCATTACAGTAGACCATCATATTGGGGAGAGAGAAATGGGGAAAGGTTGATCAGTAAGTTCTAATTTATATAGTTATGTAGAAGAAGTTCTGATGTGCTGTTGCACAGTCGGGAGACTATAGATGACAATAATGTACTGCATATTTCAAAAATTGAAAGAAAACATTTTCAAAGTTTTTACCATAAAGAAATGATGAAAAAAAAAAAAAGAAATGATGAATACTTAAGGAGCCAGATTTGTTTAACCTGATTTAAACATTACGCACGTATACATGTGTCGTAATAGCGCATAGTACCCCATTAATATGAACCATTTTTATGTATCAGCTGGACAAATTTAATTTTAAAAATAGTGTAGGTCAGAAGAATATAAAGGAACAGGAGTTATAGCAAAGAGGTAAATGTGGTGTTGTAATTGGCATTCCTTGTCATTGACTGTCACCACATTGCTCTCATTTGTAGAACTATACAACATACCTCTGTGCATGGGTTTGTCATATAAAACATAGGGTTTTATTTATGAACTCAGAAACACTGACAGATACAGTCAATAAGCTCATATTTTAAAAAGTACATTAACAAGCCAGGCACAGGCCTGTAATCCTAGGTTCTTTGGGAGGCTGAGATTGGAAAAATCACGGTTCAATACCAGTCCTGGCAAATAGTTCTCAAGACCCCATCTGCAAAAATAACCAGAGCAAAATGGACTGGAGGTGTGGCTCAAGTGGTAGAATACCTGCTTTGCAAGCATGAAACCCTGAATTCAAATCCTAGTCCTACCAAAAAAGAAGGAATATCAAGGTTGGGCTGGGGGAGGGGCTCAAATGGTATGGCACTTATCTAGCAAGCTGGAGGCAAATAGTTGGTGAGACACCAGCTCCAAAATAATGAGAACAAAGTGGACTGAAGTTGTGGCTCAAGCAGTAGAGCACCTTCTTCCCAAGTGTGAAGCCCTGAGTTCAAACCCCAGTCCCACCACAAAAAAAAAAAAAACAAAAAACTACTGTTTTCAATAAACCTTCCTGATGAAAATGAATAAAAGAAGTGTTTTTGCTACCTGAATCAAATTGTATTTAAGCATGGCAACAAGGTTATAGGGACCTGATAAAAGTGAATTTTGCCTTGAAAGAGATTTGACAAAAATTCACCCTCTTTAAAAATGTAGTGTTTTGGTTCATTAAATAACATAGACTGTCATGAGTAACATGAAGATTTCCTATATAACAAAAACCCACTTTTCTTGTACTTTAGATATTTCTCCTAATTAGGGAAGTAAGTTTCCTAGAAATCTTGAATTAATATTAAGTAAGTTTGCCTAATAATACCTTGTCAGTTGTCTAGTTATGTTTATAGTAATGTTTTTGGTTCCCTTTAAAGATCTTTGGATGGATTACATCAAAGAAGAATTGAACCACCCCCTCGGCAGACCTGAGAACTGTGGACAGATTTATTGGCGAGCCATGAAAATGTTGCAGGGACAGTCCGCAGAGATGTTTGTTTCTAAACATGCTATGCATCAGGCTGGCCACTAGTGAGGAGAAGAATACACCAACTTTGTGAAATTGTATTGCAAGCCCTCTGGGCACATTTGTATTAATGTGTCTGTGTATAACTTGTTCAGAGATGCAGACTAGATGGTTGATTGATTTTGAGACATGATTTTTGTGTTAATCTTCAGTTCCAGAAAACAAAATTATTGCTTATTGAATGGCTACTCAATCTAAGAAGCCAGATCTACCATAGTTCTTAAATATTTCCCAAAATACAACTGAGTTTCATTTATTGTCCTTGATCAAGCATGCATATCTAATCTAGACCCAGAAGCCAGGTAAAATGGAGGAGAAAACATGGTTTCGTTAGTTCTTTCCTTATTATGAAAGTATACCTGACATACATTTGAAATATAGGGGGAGAGTACAGTGTGGAAAAGACAGAAAGCTTCCTATAATCCAGCTGGAGCTGAACTCAGTAATTTGGTTCCTTTATCAGAATTGAATTTATAGTTTTGGATCCTTCATTCAAGAAATATTTGAGTGCTCATCATGTGCAGGAAAGAAGGGAGACTTGGTGGTTGAAGTAGTGTTCAGCCAGATGGCTTATAAGAGCTGGTTTGAGCAGCAGAGGAAGAGGTATTGGGTATTGGGCATAAAAGTGTGATTTGCTTTTTTTTTTTTTTTTGAGGTACTCAAGGCCTCAGACTTGCAAGGGAGGTGTTCAGCCACTTGAGCCATGCCCCCAGCCCAAAAGGTATACTTGAAGAAGGTTAAGACAATATAAAGATGTTTTCTCTTTATCTCAACAACAGCTAAGCAACAAAAGGGCAGGTTGGGGAGTACATTAGAGCTGCTGAGAAGGGCCTTAGTGGAGAGGCATGGAAAGTTAGCTTGGAGCAGAGGCGGGCATCCTGGGAGCAGGGGTGGGAATTGTTGGAATTTTCTGAATTATGTTCTTTTTTTTGTGTGGCAGGGGGTAGTTTGGACTCTGAGCCTTGCATTTGCCAGGCAGATGCTCTATACTTGAGCCCTGCCCCCAGCTTCAATTATTTTTGAGATAGCGTCTGGCATTTTTGCCTGGACTGTCCTGGACTGCAACCCTCCTATTTATGCTTCCCAAGTAGCTGGGATGATAGGCACATACCACCACCTCCCACTTTTATTGGTTAAGATATGGTCTCTGGAATTTTTTGTCCAGGCTGGTCTCAAACCACTGTTCTCCCTCCAGCATTGGTGGCTCATGTCTGTAGTCCTAGTTACTCAGGAGGCAGAGATCAGGAGGATTGTGGTTTGAAGCCAGCTTGGGAAAATAGTTCGAGAGACCCTATCTCGAAAAAAACCCATCACCAAAAAGGACTGGTGGAGTGGCTCAAGGTGTAGGTTCTGAGTTCAAACCTACAAAAACAATACCAAAAAAAAAAAAAACCTCTCTGTTCTCCCAATTCTGAATAGCTGGAATTACAGATTTGAGCCACTACACCTGGCTTAACATTTTGATGTCACAGGAAGAAGCATTCAGTGCAGTTGTACTAAATACTAAGTTTCATCTAATACTATGTTATTAGTATTAGACTAATACTAATTAGTCTTCAAAACATTTAATGAATTCATAGCATTCCATTGTAAAAGTGAGCCATGACTTATTTTGCTAATCCTCTATGGCTGGACCTTGTCATTTTAAAGCTTTTTCTTATAGAGGCTGTTGATGAAGATTCTTGTTGGTCTTTGGCCATGTTCATGGTTATTTCCTTAGGGGACTGACATTTGACAGTGGAATTAGTGGATCAAAGGATTTAGAGAATACTGGTATGTATTGCTAGTTTGTCCCTGCTTCCTGACAGCATATGAACACTGCCACACCTTTTCCTGCACTAGGTATTACATTTTTTTTTTTTTTTTTTACCATTTTAAAAAAAGTGTTATGTCATTGATTTAACAAGTTAAATGTTTTTCATGTTTCTCTTTTCATATTCATATTCTTAAACTATTTTCTTACTAATTTATGATTTTCAAATATACTAAGAATATCAATCTTTTGTCTTGCATTTATTATACATAAGTTTATACCCTCTTTTGTGAGTTTTTGAATCTCAGGGTTTTATTTATTTTTGGCAGTAGTGGGGTTTGAACAACTCAGGGCTTTGCACTTGCTAGCCAGGCTACCCTTTGAGCCACACCTCCAGCCCTGTTTGTCATTTGCTTTAAAATAAAATTTCCTTTTCTTCTGTCAAGTCCTGGGAAGTTTAATTTTCTAAGTCTTACTTGGCATTCTTATTTTAGGAAAGAGATGTATTTTTCCCATAGGATGGAGAGCCAAGATGAAGGTGGTAGACTGCCTAAAGCAAGGCTATGAAGGCAGGTCATCCTGGGGTTGTCACATCCCTGTATCTGGCTCTCACTATCACAGATTATGAAAATGCATCTAGCTAGTTCACTGAGCATTGCACTGTTAAGATGCCATGCCCATGTGTGACTGTATACATCTAAAATCAATCTAGTTCCTTACTCACACTGGCCACATTTCAAGTGCTTAATGGTCACATGGTTATATTGGGCAGCCCAGATAATAGGACTTTCATTTCCACCATCACAGAAGGTTCTAGAGTTGAGGAAACTGAGTGGTAAAGCAGAACAGAGCACATATTAATTGGTCACACTTCCTTTACCGGAGAGTCTGCATAGAGGAAAAAGCCTAACACTGAATATTGTGTGTCACCTTTACCCTAAATCTGTTCAAATGCCTTACATCACTTATTCTTTGAGGGAATGTCCCCAAAAGACTGTCTAAGGCTGCCTGATGAGGGAGGGATCCCAGCCTCCAGCTTTGTAGATACTTAGATGGAAGGCAATGCTGGTTTGAGTGGGCAGTGCTGCGGGGACGGGGTGTGAAGGCTGGATTCACAGCTGGGTCCCCTGCTCCAGAGGGAGTGCGGTGCGATGCTCCCGCACCTGCGGCTGGGCGGGCCGGGGCGCGCGCTCGCAGGTAATGGCCAGCGGCGGGGACCAGGCTGGCGTGTGTGCTCGCTCCACCTCGCTAACGGCCGTGCAGGCCCGGGGCCCTGACACTGCTGTCGGCCCTTGGGCGCCTTCCATGCTCCGTAAATGCAAGGTGAAGGCGATGGGCCGGCCATCAAAGGCCTGGGCAAGAGCCAGGTGAGGGCACGAGGAGAGGGATATTACCTTGTCTGGCCATGGGTGGGGATGCTGAGCTAATGAGTGCCACATGTCACTTGCACGTTCTCCTGGTTAAGGAAACCGAAAGGTCCCGTTTCATGTACTTTCCCAAGACCATTGTTATCAGTCATACCTGCTCTTAGGGTCAGTCCTTGTTTAGGCAGTGAGGTTTTTGAGGTAGGAATCCTCTGTTTTGGGTTGTGCGTGTCGCAAATACATATGCATATTAATTGGGTGGATGCATGGAATGCTAACGTAAGAATTAGATGGTGACCCTAGGATAGGAAAAGAATAGCCATAGACTTGCAAAGTCTTTGGGTGGCCTAGTAGATGAGACTAATTTTGTCAGGACAGAGCAGGAATGTGCAAGGTGAGAGGTGAGGGAGCCTGCAAAGGCATGGAGATGAGAAAGTGCAGGGCAGTGGCCTTGGAGCTTGGGGTCCTAAGCAGGCAGAGAACTGTTCAGTAAGCAGAAGGGAATGGGGGGGAGAGGAGTGTGAATGCCATGCCTGAGCTTTTGCCATGGCAGTGGGAGGCTGCTGAAGGTTTTGAGAAGAGTAATGGTTTCCTCTTTGTAAGGCTGGGGGGAGGCGGTTAGGGGGTTGAGGTGACAGGTCCAACCCCTCTGTAGGCAGTTGTGCCAATGGTTGTGGGGCCATAGGTGGAGGTGGGAATTGAGTCATTCAGCCCGTAGATAATGGATGCTAGCTAGATGGGGCAAGTGTCAAATATAATTTAGATGCAGGCTAAAGTATGAATTTATGGTGCTGGGGATGGAACCTAGGGCCTTGCCCATGGGAAGCAAGCACTTTACCACTGAATTATACCCCGCTGGAAGATGAATTTAGGTTAATGCTACATTCTTGGGCTGAGGGCGTGGCTCAAGCGATAGAGGGCCTGCCTGAGTTCCTACTCCAGGGTTACACACATAAAACGTTACTTTTCTGAAATGTGCTAGGTGCTTTCACAGATGTGTCACATAAGCCCTCTGCAATGTCAGAATGATCCTCCTCAATTTTCAGAGGTCATCACACCCTGAATGAATGACAGAGCGAGGTCTAATCATGCAGGCAGTAGACATTTCTTGTTCCATTAGAAAGAGGCCTTGAGGTGATAGGGTTTTAAGGTCTTACCAAGTGATGGGGTAAAGTATCTGGCTGGCTGTGGGGAATTAGAAGTATTTGTTCAGGGCTTAGCATTGCAGAGGAACTAAAAGTCTGGTCCTCCCAGACTTTGATAGAAGTTAACTAAATATAAAGTTAAGTATCTAACAAGACAAAAAGTGTACATGGAGGTAGCAACTACAGGAAATAGCCACCAGCCTTATAGCTGAGGAGCAAAGGATGAAGTTGGAACAATTAGCGTTTATGAGCTTAGAGGAAAGGCTTTGCAGAGCTGAAATTCCAACCTTTGGGGATGGGACACTGCCCCACCTGGTACTGCGGTCTCTGAGGTTGGAAGAGAAGTCCCAGGACTCAGACTTCTGAAGAGAGGCCCCAGTGATGAAGTTGGTTCTACAGGTGTTGAAAAAACCAGTGTCTGGCTTCAGGGCTGCTACGGGAGTATTGCTGCAATGATGCCTATAGTAACGGGACGGGGCAAGGCCCGGCTCCCTCCAGCCTTGCTGAATCTAACAGGGTGGGCAGAAATGTGGCTGCAGGGTCACAGCCCTGCACCCTGAAGGACAGTGTTGAGTGTGGACTCAGCTTTGAGGCAAGGGCTGTCTGTGGAGTGTGTCCCAGATACCCAGGTTCCAGTTAATTATCTCTTCCTCCACAGGCTGGCTTTGCCACAGCTGTCTACTGTTGTCAGAAGAAAGAGATTGAGATGGCCACATATCGACTAGGCAAGTAGATGGCAGATTCTGGGGTGGGTGTTGCACGAGATGGAGGTGAGAAGATAGTCCCTTCTGCTAGCCAGTCTGCTTTGCTGCTGAGTCACTTTCTTTGCCCAGTGTTTCAACAGTGTCCTTGTTTGGAAGCAATTCTGGAGCATGCTTAAGGAAAGTCCTGAACTTTCCTCATGTCCAAACCTACTCCTTCCATTGAGAGAAACAGCTTTGGACTGTGAAAAGACTATAGCTTTGGAGCTCGGCAAAATTGTTTTCAGTTCATCTTTAGGTCAGAGAGTCCTGGGCTTCAGTTTTGTGACCTTAGATAAGTCATTTAACCTTTCTGCATCTTTAAAATGGGGCTGGTAACCCTGCCTTCTATGGCTGTTGTGAAAATTGAGTGTGAGAGGATCCAGAACAGTACTGTCCAATATGACAGCCACTAACGTTAATTATAATTAAACGACACTTTCAGCTCCATGGTTACACTGGCCACATCTCATATGCTTGGTTAGACACATGTGGCTAACACTGAGCTGCACAGATTACAGAGCATTTCCATCCTTGAAGAAAGTTCTAATGGAGAGTGCAGAACGGGTGTGGTCACAGCAACAAGTACTTACTGAGTACTCA